AAGGCTCTGCCCTGCTAATTCCGGTTTAAACACTGATGCTAATCCGGGTTGTGCTCTCCGATCACCACCCCAGTTCCTCTGTGTTGTTTCTTCGCTAACTGCTTCCTCTAATTCCCCGTCCCTCCCGCACCGACTCTCTCCCCCCGTTTTCTCATTTTTCCTCTATTTTCTTCATTGTTCTTCATTCTTTCGTTTTAATGATGTGGTTTCATTATTGCGTGGCGAGAAGCTTAAAAGGCTCAAAACCTGCGGAGAAATTAAAATAAAGTGTCCTTGTGTTTTATTTGATGAACCTGCTGGTTGAATCTCCTCCATCGTGTCATCACTCGAGTGTTATTGGAGTTAGGCTTGCGAAGAAACTGCCGGTCGCTGCGTGTGGCTTTTAATTTAGCATCACCGTTCCCAAATAATCCCTTCATCTGCTAATAGATCTGCTTATTCCTTTTCCTCTCCCTCCTCCGGCCGCGGCACAGGGCTGGGGAGGCGGAACTGTCCCCTCTCAGCTCTCCCCGGTGGCAGATTTCCACGTTGGGTGCTATTAAATCTGCTTCTTTCCCTTATTTTTTTTAGCTGATTCGGACTGAAAACAAGAGGCCGAACAAGGCGACGGATGCTCCGGAGAAAAGGGGACCCTACATCATGAGCAAGCCTCCCTCCGTTCGTGCCACGCTCCGTAAGTGACGCTCGGTGTCGGCGCAGCGACTCCGCCGGCATTTGGGGAGACGTCTGAGCCTCTTCCCCCACAGTGGGCAATACTTTTTATTCCTCGGCAGGTCAAAACCATAAAAATACTCATAAAAAAACCATAAAACCCCATTGGCGCTGCCTATGGAAACCAGCACGGTGCCCCTGTGCTCTCCCTAGCATAGGAGTATCCTATGGGTATAGAATATCCACCTGCAATGGATATTCCCCCCCATCCCCCCAAGAAAAAAAAAAGACCCTTGGGTGTTTTTAGCTCTGTCCCTGTGCTTGGCTTTCAGAGAGGCAGCGGGAGCTGGCGAAGGCGGCACTGCGAAGGCAGGGGCTGCTGGGGGGACCCGCGCCGCACCACCCGAAGCCGGTGGCTAAAAGGTCAGATATCCCGTTTTTTCTTGTTCCTTTTCCCCAAGATGTACTTTTCCATGTTCCTTGGGAAGACTGGGAAACTCAGAGGATTGAAAAATGAGTTTGGGGACCTTAGTCTGCTGGCTTTGTTGCAGCCAGCAAGCAGCCAGTATAAAAAAATACAGCACTTTTCCTGCAAAAGTTAGGAGTTGCTCTAGCAGGAGCCGTGCTCCTCCTCCTCTTTGTTTTGGGGATGGTTTGGTGCTCAGGATTTCAGCGAGAGGGCTTAGATGGAGTTTATTTCTAGCTGGTCGTGGCCCTGGACAGTGGCTGGGTGGGAAGGGACGTTCAGGATGGGGGATTCCTGCCCCGGCTCCTCGGTCCATCAGCTCCGTGGCTGCGTTTCCACGCCAAAACATCTGTTGGAGCCTCATCCCTCTGCGTTCCGGCAGGTCGGTGAAGTTTAACAAGGGCTACACGGCGCTCAGCCAGACGCCGGATGAAAACCTGGTCTCCCTCGATTCGGACAGGTAGGGACTGGGTAAATATCCCAGGATTTTGGGTGGGGGGGTGTTGCAGGCTCACAGCTTTTTTTTTTCAGGATTGATTGATTTTCCTTGTCACTTGTAGAGCATCCCCAGTTGCACCTCTCAGCAGTGAAACGCTCCCGTTGTCCCCAGTTTAACAAATCCCTTGGGGTTACGCTGCCGGATCCCTTTTCCCCCTCACCCTGAGGTTCCCTAGTCTGCATCCCAAGCTAGGACACCACTTCCCAGCTGGCTCTGACCATTTCCTTCTTCTCTTAGTGATGGCGAGCTGGGATCCAGATGTTCCTCGGGCTACTCCTCCGCTGAGGCAAGTCCAGGGGTTTGGCTCTGATGGCGCGGTCCCCACCATGCCTCAGTCTCCCTTTTGCAAGCCCCAGCTGGCTGCCACAGCGGGGCAGACGACGAGCTCTGTCGTGCGAGGGTGTTGCAGCCCACGGGGTGTTTTGGGGTGCACGGGGTGCGTGTCAGGGTGCTGCAGCCTGGGAAAACCTCTTTGGTCTTCTCCTTTTGTCTTCTCCGTGCTGGTTGTGCTGCTTCTTCCCCACGTAAGGTGCTGGAGGATGCGATGCCCTTCTTGCTCGCAGCCCTACCCTTTGCAAGCCCAATTTTAACCAAACCGGGACTAATTTTACCCAGGGACCTAAATTTGAACTAACCCAGGACTAATTTTAACCAGCTCTGCCTCCTTTCTTCCCTCCACAGCAGGTGAACCAGGACCTGAGCCGGCAGCTGCTGCAGGACGGGTACCACCTCGACGAGGTCCCCGATGACGAAGATCTGGATCTCATCCCCCCGAAACCTGTCACCTCCTCTTCTTGCCCCTCTTGTTTCGGAGACTCTCTCTCCTGCGTGGTCCAGTAGACGCCGCTCGGCCGGGGCCGTGCAAGCACAGGTGAAAAGCCAGCACTTTTCTTTGTCCCGTGGGATGGCTGTTGGTGTCCGTGTCCCCCACCGGAGCGGTGACACAAGGACCGAACGATGCTGCGTTGCTGCTCGTGGTGGGCAGCAGCAACCAACCGACCCCAAAGGACTTTTGTTACACTCAGCAATATCAGAGAGAGGTGGCACGGTGACGTTTAGGTGGCCTGGATGGGATGTGTCGCCTGGCTGGGGTGGGGAGGGAGGAGAAGCAGAGCCTGGGCAACCCCACGGGGGTGCAAAGGGAAGGAATCAGGAGGTGCAGCAGCAAAAGCTCTTCTGTGTGCCTGACCTCCGCTTTTCCCCCTCTAATCGGCCACGTTGAGGATCAGGACTTGGCCCCCAGATATGGGTTTCCCTCCCTAATGAAGAAGTGGTTGATGGTGGGGTCGAACTGCAATGGTGTGGGACCAGGCTGGGAAGCCCCGAGACCCATTTTCTATTTATTTTAGCTTTAGTCACCCCTCCTCCCTGGCTGGCTGAGGCCAGAGGTCGGCTGGCAGAGAGCTGCTTCATTTAATTATCTCGTGTTGCTTGCAATTAATCGCTGCCGGGTTCCCTCCTCCCAAAGCCTGGGCTGACCTGAACCAAAGATGCTGCTCTGGCAGAGAAGATGGGGAGAAACCTAATGGGGTGCTGAGCTTTAAGCATCTGCATTTGTTATATCCACCAGCAGCCACCACTTGGGCTGGGACCTCCCTGCTTTGGATTCATTAAGTCCATCGGGTCTGGGTTCCTAACGGCTTGTCCCAGTTCTCCCCAAAGCTGCTTTGGTGCAGGCGAGGGGCAGGGCAGACCCCCCACCCTATGCCAGCTCTGGACGGGTCCCTCTGGGTGCAGATTTGGGGGAGGTGCTGGGGAGTCGTATCTGCTGGGAGCCTTAAAAGCTGCCTTAAGTCACGGTCCTGCCGTACTACATCGGGGACAATCAGCTTCTTATCAAGAAACCTTATTTAAATATTTGATGTCTAGAGGCTCGAACTGGTTTTGGTTTGGTTTTGTATTTTCCTTGTTGAAGGGAGCACTTGAATAAATTGGGTTTCACTACTCGGAGGCTGTCCTGGTGCTGTGGCAGGGTGCTGAGCCCCCTTCATCCCCCCCC